CCTGTACTCCTGAAGAATGGGCTGAATATTGCTGGATGCCACAAGTTCGTACTAACGAAACTCCTGGAGAGTGGAAACAACGAATTTGGGCCCGTCTAACATATTTCAGAGAAAATGACCTCTTACCGAATCAGAGTAAAAAATATCTTGAAGCTAGGGGCCGTACGGCAGGAAATTAATACGATTTCCGAATGGCGGTTCATATGCTCCTGCGGTACCGCTGAAATCGGAATAGCAATATGTTTCTCTTGTGACCGATTAGTATACATCGGACAAAGAAAAAAGAATATAGGAAATTATAACCATATAGGAATAGAGAAGCATTGGAAATTTTCATGTACCGGAAATAAATACTGTGGTGTAAATTACGAAAAGTATTCAGAAGCCGTACGGCTTAAACAAAAATCTAATTTTGAACGTAATTATGATGAGGAATATGCATTACATCGTTATGAGTTATGGGAATGCAATGCAATCAGAAGACTCAAACGCGCAAGGGAGGTTGGTAAAAAGATTCAAGCGTGTATAGAAAAATCGTGGAATGGATTTACCGCCCTGATGGATTCAATGCTCATAAACTCGCCTTATACTATGCATGTTTACAAAATATTAGAGCAGAAATGCGTCAAGCTAATAATATAGCGTTGTGATATCACTTAGACACAAATAATTTGTCGAAAACTTTCTTTTTTTACCTTTGTTGTCCGATTTAACAGAAATATATCGATATCAAACTGGTGCCTTACGGCTAGCGTATAGAATTAAAATAAGTTTATTATTGTCCGATCTAACATAATATCACAGAAATATATCAATGTCAAACTGGTGCCGTACGGCTAGCGTACAGAATTAAAATAAGTTTATTATTGTCCAATTCGACATATACCACAAGATCAGGGAGAATATGATATCAAACTGGTGCCGTACGGCTAGCGTATAGAATAAAATACAGTTTATAATTGTCCGATTCGACATAACACTACAGAATATATCAATATCAAACTGGTAGCATATAGAATTAAAATTAGTTTATTATTATTTTTTTCTAATATATATAATAATGAACAACCAATCACCATCACAACAGATGACCCAAAGGCTCGAAGCTCCGCTTCTTCGCGTCCGTAAATTTCTCAGACCGGATGCCACCCCATTGACACCTGAAGCTATTGAAGAAATCAGAAACGCACCGGAAAATATCCCGAATGCATGCCGTGTGATGTGCAAAAAGTACCATATAGGTACGAAACGGTATAACGATATAATTAATAATCGAATGCCTTCTGAACCAACTGAGGAGTGGCGTCATATTATTGAATCAGTTAATAAGACTTGTGTAGCATGGCCCTCTTTAAGGCGATATATTTGCTCTGCAAAGCCACTTACGCAAACTCCTGATAGTGCTGGCGGTACCGTTGAAACTTTTACCAAGTTGGACACAAACTCAGAGGCTTTGCTGCCGTACGGCCACGAGGCTGTGGTACCACTCCCAAATGGACAAGTCTCTATGGTACACCCAACTCATATGAAAAAACTAATATACAGTAGACTCGCTTATTAAATTTTTAGTTCATCCAGCCACTGAAGCGAGGGG